AGATTTCTTACTGTACTTAAGTAGTACTTTTATTGAGGAATAATGTACTGTAGGCCTCTGGAACATAAATTTTTCAAGTTAAAGTAGGCCCAAGTGTGAACCCAAAGTTCTAAGGATGAAATAGCCTTTTAAAGTTTCTTCTTCTTTTATTTCTTTCTTTGGCAGTGTCACATTTACAATAAATTTGGCTATGAGCAATGCCCTAATAATGTAGTGTCTATATAAAATTGATTAGAACTTTTTTGGGGAAAATGCTTTGAAATGTTATCAACAGAGCTTGTGATGTTATTGCATTCAAAGCAATTTTCATATGTTATGAAACCCTTAACATTTTCTTTGTGGCTAAATGGGGACCACGTATTTGATGAGGTATGTTTATTGGTAATAATTCTAGATTTTTAATATATTTAATAGCTTCCTTTTCCAGCACAGCTGTACATGTGGCAAAGTAAGACAGATTTCAGCCACCGGTGTATTGCAAGAAAGATATTTAATATTCTGCATATTGCTAAACCTTGTCAGCATATTCCCAAATGCTTTTTGGAAAACTGGTATGAGTGATGAAGACTACCAGCTGATTTAGAAGTCCCATGAAACTGCTGGGTGTGACGCTTTTTACTTTTTGACACTGAAGACAAGTATTTACATCATGTCTTCTAGTTGTGTTGAAACATGATGGTTAAGACTATTATTTTATGTATTTTTTTCATGTCTTGAAATTTTTTTTTTTTTTTTAAGGAGAAGGGAAAAGGGCCCAAGCCCAAATCCTAGCAGTGTAAAGAGTACTTGTGTATTTCCACCTTTAATGGATGTCTGGGTTGGTTCTGGCATGAGATTTAAGATATAATACAATGTTTAATAATAGAATGGTAAAATCATTGATGCTATTATGTAATATCCATTGATTTTTTACAATAGAAGGTGATGTTGACTTTTTTAAAAAATGCTGGTAAAAAGTAATAACAATTTGAGTCCCTAGAGTTAGGTATGATTCTAGCATACATAGATTTTAGGACTTTAGCATGGGTCTCTGCAGTGCACCTGCGTCCTGGCCTCTGGCACTCTTATTGCCAATCTTGTCCCATTTCTGACCACACAGCACCAATTGCTTGGGAATAGTTCCCACATGTGTGGTGGTTTTTGAACATGGACCTGTACCCACTAAAAAATTGAACAGAGGCCATATACAGTTTAAACCCAGTACTCTATCGGTTAAAAAAAAAAAAGAACGAAAAAAACCAGCATTAATTCAGTGAACCTCAAATGCCGTGTCTTCATTTTATCTTTTTATCTGATGGGGAAACAAACATCTCAGGAGTGAGTCTTGAAGCCTTTCCCTTTAGGTCAGTTTCAAAACAAAGCCACTAAAGCTTCTTGTCATTGCCACTTTTTAAACTAGTATATTTGTTGGAGTTCTTTGCAGATTATTTTCTTCTTTGTGGGGGGATAGAAAATGTACTGTATTTATAGTTGTATTCAGACACTGATTGCTTTATTCTTTAAAGTTATCTAGGTCCAAAATTGTGGATTGATAGTTTTAAGAATGTGATTCTAGAAATGAAAAATTGAATATTTATGTAGTGCAAGGCAAACTGCCTTCAAAGAGCTTACACTCTAGCAATAAAGAACTGCATTGCCTCCTTTGGGGCTGTCACATCTCCTGGTAAATGCAGCATCCTGTAATATGTGGCACCATGTGGTTAACCTTATTAACACATGTGGTCCATCAAATAAGGAAGAACTTCTATTCTCCTGCAGATGTTATTCATCAACTTTATTTTTTTTTTCTTTTTGACTTTGCTCTGATGTTGGGAAATTGTGTATCATTCTCTGTGCCTCAATTCCCTCACCTATAAAATAAGGATGTTAAAACAGATGATTTTATTTGAACTTCTTTCTAAAATTCTATGAATTTTGACTGTTTTCCCCACTTTCCATTTTTGGGTTTTGGTGTATTTTCTCCTCAGATTTACTTTGACTCATTATACACATGGAAATCCCACATGCTTGTAGCTGGTGTAGATGTCGTGTGTCATTTCTGTCTTTCCTGGAAAGGACTGTGAACCAGTCTCCCATTTGATTCAGCCTTCTCTTGGTACATCCTGTTGCTAACAATGAGAGAAAGAACTAATGTAAAATTAGATCAGAGTTCTTTTGTAGCTAAGAAAATTTGTTACACTTGATTAAAGCTATATTTAAATAACTTGTCTGCAGGAATGGATATCATGCTTCATTGCTAAGTAATGTGAAAACATCATAGGAGCTCTTTTCTAGACTTGATTCTGCAGTTTTCTGGCTGTTTGCCCTGTAAAATGACCAGTTGTGACACCAACAACTGGAGAATTTCTCATGGATAAAAATATTGTAGACAACACCAAAATAAACTTTGCTTCTTATACATAATTTAAAAATGGGCAGCATAATACTCTAATATACTATACAGTAGCAATAGTGAGGCAAATAGATTCTAATAGGAAATATTTCAACTTTTCAAAAAAATTTATAGGATTTATTATTTGTCTCTTTCTATGTTTCACTCATTTTAGTATATTTTCTTTAAGAAACGACTTTGATCCATTTTATATGAATCTAAATTACATCATTCACAGTTTAATGATTAGCAAACTGTATGTAGTGGTTTTAAGTGTTAAGAAAATTCTTATAATACTTTGACATGAGTAATATTTTGGGGTGGGCAAAATATTAATTTATTAAAGTGTATTTATTATTTTTACAATACTCAAAAATAATTTGAATTAGTGAATTCTTTCAAAGTCTCTGCCTCAGTGTATTTTAATATTAAAAAATGTTCTCTGTCCATTGGTAACACTTATCTCATATGGAAATATATTAACTATTATTGATAAGAATTTTTGATGATGAGTAATTTTCAAATTGTGAAAGAAGACTTATCCAAAATCCTTACACTTGACAAAGACCTGTTCCTTCAGTACATGTCACATTACAGAAATAATGATCTGTTTTTTAAAGTGAAACAATGAGTGAAACCACAAACACTCTGGCTAACAGGTTCTCATCTAGTGCTCGGTTGCCCTGATGTGTGCAGTAGCTTTACCTAAAGAACTGTGTGTATATGCCAAGGTCTGATAGCCTTTCTTCATTACATGTTACAACACATTTTTTTTTCTTCTTTTTAAGGTGGTTTAGGTTAGAATCCAAACAAGGAAAAAGAGTCAAAAACAGGGGTGAGATAAAGGTCAATATTCAATTTATGAGGAACAATATGACAGCAAGTATGTTTGACTTATCAATGAAGGACAAAACAAGATCTCCTTTTGCAAAATTGAAAGATAAGATGAAAGGTAGAAAAAATGATGGGACATTTTCTGATACGTCTTCTGCAATCATTCCAAGTACTCCCATGCCTGATGCCAGTACTGAATTTTCAAGTGGTGAAATACAGATGAAATCCAAACCAAAAAAGCCTTTTCTTTTGGGTCCTCAGCGTCTCTCTTCTGCACATTCAATGTCTGATTTAACGGGGTCCCACATGTCTTCTGAGAAACTGAAGTCTGGTGCTGTAGGTCACACACATCTTCTTGGTCGCCACATAGAGTCCTTTGGAGCCGTTCCAGAAAATGGTAAGTGGTACCTTCTTTCCAATGTAGTCTTTCCTTAGTAGTCTTAATTACTCTTGTAGTTTTTAAGTGTAACTTCTAAAGTTGATAAACTAAAATTGCCATTTCATGGTGGTATTTTATAGATTTAGTCGTCTATCAATTATTGAGTGTCTACTGTACCCTTGATAAGTTCATTGAAAGCAAAGTTTGTTTGCATTTTTATATATTTTATTAGGTGATAATAAAATGAGTGTTAGTCTCTCTTCATGCTCTTCATGCCCTGGCTTCTTTTTTTTTTTTTACTGTTGTTTCTCCTGCCTTGAAAGCCTGAATCATAAATGAACATTCAATTTCATCATAAGATTCTTGGGAAAAACTTTAATGTTCAGAAATAAGAAAGTCAATTTAATGCTAATGATGGGAAAAAAAAGCCCAAAAACAAAAACAAACTTTGAGAATTTCTAGCATTATCATACCAGTGGGTCCTCTAGTTTTGACATTATTGTTTGTTTGTGTGATGGTTTCTGAGCTAAGTAAATTACTAATTGTCTAATAAGACACTAATTGTTAGTAGCCTAACTTCAGAACGTTATACCTTTCCATTTTAAGATTGTTTTCCTTGATTATTTTTAAGGTTAATACCTTTAAATAGCTAATTGCACTCATTCTAAAAGCAGCAGAATGTGTCAAATAGTATGATGTAATGTGTCACTGATTATGTACTAACTACAAAATTGTTTGTAGGAAGTCTTAAGTCTCCACACAGAAGAGCATTAAGCTTTGATACTTCTAAAATGAACCAACCTGACAGCATTGTGGGTGAAGGTGAATCGTCTTTTGGAAGACAAAATGACCCATTTACAAATGTGACTGCTTCATTACCCCAAAAATTCGCAACACTGCCAAGGAAGAAAAATCCATTTGAAGAAAGCAGTGAATCATGGGACAGCAGCATGAATTTATTTTCAAAACCAATTGAAGTAAGAAAAGAAAATAAAAGAGAGAAAAGGGAGAAAGTTAGCCTATTTGAGAGAGTGACTGGGAAAAAAGATGGCAGAAGATCTGATAAACTTAACAGTGGGGGATCTGATAGCCCTTGTGACTTGAAGTCACCTAATGCATGTAATGAAAATCGTCAGGACTATTTTGATTATGACTCAACTAATCCGTTTACAACAAAATTCAGGGCTTCAAATATAATGCCATCTTCAAGGTAAGTTTTGAATGGGGAAGGTTGTGCTATTTATAAAATAGATTCTTTTTATTTTGCTTGGAATTTTTTTTCTCTTTTATAATTGCTTATAGAGCCAAGTAATTTTGCATACATCTTTGGAATTGGACTTTTTATCTTGGAAGGATTGAAAGGATAAAAGATTTTTATTCCCTACCCTAGTCTGCTCTCACTTATGTAAGCCAAAACTCACCAAAACTTTGGAGAAACAGCATGCCTTTTGATGAGACATGGTGACAGTGAATAATCCAGGGGTGTGAGTGCAAGCCAGAGATGTATTCCTAGATATTTTCCAGGGATTAAGTCCTGGGCTGTCTGGAGAGGTTTAGTAAACCAGTAGTGGCACATAGTTTGTTGTTTAAGAATTAGTACTGAAATATTAATGTTTCTATTCTGATGATTTCAGGATAGATTTAATAAATATCCTTACTAAATGATTGTTTAGGAATAGTTTTGTGAATGTTCATTGGAATTCAGTGACCCGCATGTATACTGTGAATACCTAAGAGATCTTTATGAAGATTTATAATCATAGGAATAATCATTATGATAGAGATTAGAATTTCAAACTCGTGAGTTTTCAGTTTTATATATACTGCTCCTTTTTCTTGTTCCTTAGAATTTGGAACTGTATATATTTAAATGCAATTAATGAATTTTGTAGGTGTGAATGATTCAGTGAGGATAAATAGCTCATGAAGTACATAGTACAAAGCTAGCCCAAATAGGGAACCCTTAAATGGTGAGTAATATAGGTTGAGCATCCCAGTCAGAAAATCTAAAATCCAAAATGCTCTTCCTTAAGAAATGTGGACTTCAGCATTAATGGTTTTATAGTAGATGGAACTCTTGGAATTTTGGATTTTGGAACAGTTTATTAGAGTTTGGATTTTTCAATTGGGAATATTCAACCTGTAAAGTCTGCAAGTATTCCCAAATCCAAAAAGCTTAAAGGCATCTTGGGTAAGGGATACCCTACCTGTATTGTGTTTTTGTGTTGTAAGTCGTTTTATTCATGCGCAGCTCTTTGCTTTGTCCCACTGTAAGCAGCAAGGGTAGTGACAGTCTCCCTTGGAGGCTCTACTCTCCTCCTCCCTTGTGCATCTTCCATCACATCAAAAGCCATGTATTTAAATTTTGGAAGGGAAATGCGTATTTCTTTCATTCTCTTTTATCAATAAATGGGTATTTGCTGTGGTTTTAGAAGCATCATTCAGTTTTGTTTATAGACTATACCTCAGAGAAATAAATTTTTATCATTGGTGTCAATGTGTTCT